TAGACGAACTAGAGATAATGTATCTTCTGTTGCTTCACGTGTACATACTATATGTAAAGGAGTACGACCATGTGGAACAGAGTCATTCTAAAATGGGTTTTTTTTGTTTTTTGACGAAATATAAAAACTCTTTACTGTTCTATGTATATCGATAACTGATGGATCAGTAAGTGATAGATATTCTTGACCACCTGGTAATGATTCTGCATTGACATGTGCTCCATGTTCTAATAATTGTTGAGCAATATCGATTGCATTTGATGATAAATGCGGAAACTTCGGATTTAAATCCGAGAGTTATGTGTACTTCAAAAAGTGAATGAGACAGATGAGTCGTTCTAGAACGTGTGGACATCAAAATTATACTGGGGAACCTACCCTCTAAACTGTTGATTTCTATTGAGTATTGCCAAACCAATAGGACTTGGGACCGAATACAGCTCAAATTTGAACTCTTCCCCATGATTTACCTTAAGAAAGTCGTTTTTCCTATAACTTGATTTCTATTGGTCACTGCTCAACCAATAGTATTTCGATGGAAGTGGAATACAGATTCGAGTTCTCCATCTCAGAAAACCTCGAAGTATCATCACTGTGATCGGAAGATAGAGCTCTATTTGTGGATCAATTAGATCGTGGACAAAAATCTAACCTAGTTCTCTTTAATTATCTTTGTGATAGATGAGCCAACCTTCTTGTTTCGTTATGTTTTATATACCATTTTGTAGCTCGTGAAATTCTCTATCGAATGGTATATAATAGTTGGGGTTTTAGTTGACTATGATAGGAAAAGTCTTTTACGAAAGTGGGGATGGGTCGATCTTTCCATAGGGAAGGTGCACGGAAAGATGAGTATTTTTGCAATAACTCAGGAAGGGCTCGACCAATCCTTCTCATCTTCGAACTCGACCGAGATATTGTTAAGACTGAACTGTGTAGAAAATTTCATCGCGATCGGACTCTCCTTTCGAAAGTTATCGAATAAACGGACGGACGGACGGACGGACACACTGACCGATTTGGGAAATGGACACTTCGTCTCACCTGTTTATTACGGACTCCGGTTGAAGTAGTCCGTTACGATCTTCGTACTTAAGAAAAAATACAGGGTGTTCGGAATGACAAAAGTCAATGAAATATGAGGAAAAATCATGATGCTCGTAACGACATGTGGTCGGAAGATCGTAACGAGCTCTGACAACTGTTTCTTAGTGGTTGAACAGCGAAAATTTGACTGGAGATCGAAATGAAACAGTCCGGAAGTTCGTAATGACAAATACATGAAGGTCGTAATGAAAACTACAGAATGTTCGGAAGGAAAATGGTAGGATGTTCGTAACTATATTTAAGTTTACTCAACTTTGAGAGAATATGAAGCGACACATTTGTTTTACAGTTTAAGATGGTGCATTAAAGATATCTTGATAAATGCAAACAGTCAAGATTGCTCGTCTTTTTACTATTTCAATTCCAATTAAAGAAAAAAAGAAGAACAAATATTTTATTTTATTTTACTTTAAATCTAATTTATAGTAAATGTAGAGCATAATATCATAAGAAAGAACATGAAATGTATAGAACAAAAGTTTCAATAGTTATTTTTTCATACGTTTATTTCTTGCACCACCATTTGTACCTTTAACTGGTTTAGCATCACTTGACGTATTAGGACTGAAAATTGAAAAGAAAAATATAATACACATTAGTACTCTCTTTATTCAACACAAAAATTTGAAATTAAAGTAAATGTAGATTCAAACGAAGAAAATGATTCTATTCACTTGAATTCTTATCTAGAAATAGGAAATAACAGCAAAGTTCTTATTTATGATAGAATATTTTTGGAGTCTATAATCTTCACTTTTTTATGAGAACTTAGTCTGGTTTATCTTCAATACTAAATCGCTTGTATAATCAATCATATCTGAACGAAAAGACTTTGGTACATACACTATATAGTGTTTTATTTGTACAGGAGCCACTGTCATCTATCAATATTATGAATACATTAAGAGACGAAAGTTAGAAACAACTTTTATAGTTACTAAAGTATAGAGAATAGCAATAGAGACAGAAAAATGTCTTCTGATATAATTATGAATGTGCTAAGTAAATGACTGCTATTCTTGTATAGAAAAACAGAAATAAAAGTCTTTATATCCGTTACGATCTCCCAGTGAATCTGTTTTTACGAAGTTCCGGTAAATATTATTCCGATCATCCGGTTGTTTTTTTTTGTAAAATGCATTATTCCGAACATCTGACCTTATTCATTACGATCTCCGGACCTGCATCAGATATATCAAGAAATATTCTATTCCGAACATCCGGTCAAACCATTCCAATTTTCCTGCTTTTCTATTACGACCTTCTGTCCACGAATGTTTACGAACTCCGCTAAAAAAAAAATTCATTTCCGAACATCCGGACGCATGTCCGGAGTTCGAAATGAGGTGAGACGAAGTGTCCTTCACCCGAAAACTCCTCAACATACTGACGAAATATCGATGCCATCACCATTTATAACTGCACTCGTTATACTGTTTTTGAATGGTTTTTACTTATATCAAAACCAGGATATAGAATATTTTACAGATTATATACAAACAAATAGAATAGTGTGTGATTGTTACAATGATTATGTCGAAGAACCTTCGAAATTTATCACTAAACCATTGAAAACAGATTCTCTTTTTGTAGATAAAATGAAATGTTAATAACAATGAAAGTTTTTTAAAATATTGACATATTTTATATATCAATAAAGGACGGGAGGTTATAAGATCGTAAATCGGCCCATCGGATTCTTTCATCGGGACCCCTACTATCATATACCAATTGAAAGATCTCATTGAGATAAGCATTTCTTGTGACGGAACTTTTTATTTTTTGACGGATAAATAAAAAGTTTGGATGGGGATCAATATTCGATGTTTTTTGGACCTAAATTGCTCCATGACCATCATGATATAGTATTCCTGTTTATATAAAAAGAAAGGAAAAAAAAGATATTTTTCTACTTGAAATAGTAGGTCATATGATTCTTTAACACTGCTATAAATATCAAACTTTTTGCTTTAGTCCTTCCGACTTTACAAGCATAATACAATCCTCCTAGGACCCTTAAAAATCTCAGAAAATCGTCTCTAGACTACCAGACACGTCCAGCGTAAGTCTTCGATCTCGTCAATGGCAAGAGCAAACATCACCATATTTTTATAATAAAGAGCCCTTCGCATAAGCTACAAAAGTCACTTATTACAATTAAAAACCAGTTTGGGAAGACATTTAAAAATAGCACACACTGTCATTATTGTATTGATTTAGACCAATCGCTAATGATACTTTAACTATTCATTCAATATTTTATTTCTTATCTAACTGAATAATATTTCATTTTAAAATATACGTTTGTCAGGATAATGTGATAAGAATAGAATGTAATTTTTGTTATTTTTTGTGCCGAGTGCTGCACATGTGTAACTTGTAACGTATGTCATGATGCATTGCATTGTTTTGCTTATCAATAAGTGGGAGAGTATCGCATTGTTTTTTTTCACAAAGTATGTGATATACGTATAAGTTACGAAAAAATATATTCATTTATACACTTTGTTCTCTGTTAATAATATTTTACATCCTTA